CGGATGCCCTTTCTTGTTTTCAGCTCTCCAGGTTCCAGCAGCTGGCTCTCGAGATGTCGACACACCCATTGGAGGTACCGGCTTGCTATGGAGCCTTGGAGATTAGAAATTCACAGGGCAATCTTGAATTCCATTGCCCCATCTACACGCAAGTCCTATCAAACAGCTTTAAATTAGTTTAATCAAATTTTATTGGAAATTGGGGAGGATCAAAATTGGCCAATCAGGGTTGACCTGATCCTACATTTTATAGTTCATCTTAGATAGGCAGGCCTTTTGCCTGTCACTATTAGGGGCAGGTTGGCAGCCCTGGCATTTCACTCTAGGGCACAGGGTTATTTTGATCCTACCACAGACTTTAGGGTCAAAAGAGATGTGGAAGGTTGGTCTAGGGAATCCCCTGTAACAAAGGACTCATGATGGCCAATAACAGGCCCAGTCCACACTAAATTATGGAAACAATTAGCTGATACATGTAACTCATCTGGGGAAGAGGCTTTATTTAAGGCAGTATTCGCTTTAGCCTTCTTCACTGCATTAAGAATTAGTGAGATTGTGCCAGGATCTCGTGATGATCAAACTGGCAGGGCTCTTTTGTTTTCTGACATTTTATTAATGGAACAAGGGATTCAGATTTGTGTTAGGCGCTTCAAGACGGATCAGATAGCAAAGGGTCAGTCTATTTTCTTAGCAAGAGCGCCTCTTGGGCAGATTTGCCCCGTAATAGCAATGGTCAACTATTTGAAGATTAGGCCCAATGTGGTGGGCTATCTTTTCATTCATCTGTCTGGTATGCCCTCAACTCAATTTCAATTTAGGGCAGTGTTGAAGGAGACACTAAGGCAGTCTAATTTGCCCCAGGCCTCTTTTTCTTTGCACTCCTTCCATATTGGGGCAGCAACAGATGCGGCCACTCATGGTTTGAGTGAAGCTGATATTTGCAGAATTAGCCGGTGGCATTCCCAAGCATTTAAGTTATATGTCAGGCCATCAGGGAATGTGACTTCTGATCAGCCACACTAATTTGTTTTGGTTTTTTTTTTAATCTGGTTTTTACCATGGTTCAATATGGATTGTGGGCCATAGTTTGGTCTTCTGGGCGGAATGCCACCTTATGAGCATCGACACAATTCCATTCTGGGAATTTCACACATTGGAACCACCGTGTGGTTTGGACAAAGGGGCATGATGTGTGGAGCACTCCTTCCATGGATCATATAATTGGCACGATTGTATCTGCAACCCTGGGTTTTGGTGATACACCTGGGGGGAAATGATTTAGT